ATATGGTTTCTATTGTTATTGAATCAAGGAAACAGCACCAATTCAACCTGCCGACAGAGGAAGCCAGGAGACGTGTGGGAGAAGGAGATTCTTTCCTTTCAAAATGATCTGGTGTTTTATAGGTTAGTTCATCAAACATACCAGTGACAACTAAGTTTCACGCACCTCCTAGGGTCAGGATGTGCATTGGTGATCAAAACTAATGCTACTCTTTGATTCCCTGGTCTTGTCAGTTAGCTTTTTGTCACTACGCCGAATTACCTGGTAAGAAAACAAAGGCTCATGGTTTCACGGTCACTTGGCCTGAGACAAGACAGAGGAGCACATGCTGGCACAAAGCTGCGGAAGCCAAGGGAGAGCGAAGAGAGAAGCTAAGGACAAAATATGCCCCTCAAAGGCGTCGCACCAATGACCTTCTTCTTCCAACCAGGCCCCATCTCCTGCGAAGTTTCTACCAACTCCCAACTCCCAATTCCCAACTCCCACTTGTGCCGAGGACCAAACCTTCCTTGCCGAGCTCTTAAGGGACATTCCAGACCCAAAGCACACTAATGATAGTTGAGCTCCAGGTGGGTGGGGACACTGGCAGTTGTATAAGTGATGTGAAAAGTGCCCTCTTGACTCAAAGGATACAAGCGGGGAAAATGGTTTCTTGTCATGATCAGGGAAGACCTCACTGAAGAGCTCACAGACAACCTAAGTCAAAAGGTGATCCCTGTCAGGTAACAAGGGTGGAGGCAGCTCTCGGGGGGCACAAGAACTTGATGTGTCAGAGATCCAAAAGGAGGTGAGTGGAGTTGGTGTAGTCAGAAAGGACAAGTGGAATTAAGGGAAGTTTGAAGGACACCAGAGCAGGACTTACCGGGTCCCTGCACAAGGATGGATTATCCCGTTAGCCTAGAGCTCTAAGCAGTCTGTAGGCAGTGTTGGAGGAAATAGGGCAGATGGTGGGTTTTCATCAGGGGGGTGGGATGATAAGCGTTGCCATTTGTAAACTCACTCTCATGGAGCCACAGAGAGTCATCCCAGCCGAGAGGTTACAATGGGCTGAAAGAGAGCTGAGGTTACAGGAGCGGAGATCATATTTTCCTGATGTGCTCAGTGTGAGGGAAAGAGTTCAGAGGGAACACTCAAGGATAATCCTGAGGTTTGTGGTTTAAATTGCTGGATGGGGCGCTACTTACGGAGTTGACAAAGGGTTTGTGCTGTGCATTTGTTTCCTTTTGCTGCTGTCGTGAACTTACTACAGCCCAGGAAGTGAACTGCCTTGTAATTCTGGAAGTCATGCATCTACAAGAGACCTTACAAGGCCAGAACAGAGATGCAGGAAGGTCTTGCTCCTCTGGAGATGCTAACAGTCTGTGTACCTGAGTTCTCTGCCTTGTGGAGCTAACTTTATGCTGTGTGTAGCTCAGCCCCTAACCTTCCCTGCCTTGTCCTTACACTCTTCCTCTCTCCCTTCTTACCCGTGTAAGGACCGTGTGGTTACACTCAGCCCACGTAATTATTGATCAGTGTTATTCCTTCTGTGGACAGCTTCCTTTTTCTATCTAATATAACATGTTCACAGATACCAGGAATGCTGTTTTCATTCAAACCAATACAAAACTAGAAAAAAAAAATCCTTCTTAATGAAGTCTAAAAAGCCCTTTAGAAATAGCAAGACATGCTTGGAAGAATAAGGCTACAATAACCCTAAGAAAAACCTCAGGATTTTCTTTGTCTTGAGTAACTTGCTTGTCTGTCCTGGCTGTTCTGGGTATGGGTAGCAACTATTCTTCCAGTTTGCCATGAGGGCTTGAAGCTGCAGAACAGTGAGTGAGAACTCCCTCCCACTCATCCCCACGGTACTGGACCTTTCAGAAGAAGGTGGCTGAAAGATTCTCAGAGTCAAAAGTGGTAGCTCATCCTAGAGTTCCAGCCCCTGCGAAGCTGAGGCAGGGGGATCATCACAAATTGGAGGTCAGCCTGACTATGTCATGAATTCCAGGACAGTCTGGAATACAGCTTAAGATTCCGTCTCAGAAAAGCAAAGTGAGCCAAACGTATTCTGAGCCCAATTTCCCCTCTGCCCTCTTGCCTGGTTCTGAGTCACATCCTAGCAGACACAGCAGAGGCGGAGTCTTATAAGAAAATCCAAAGGCCAAAACCAAAAGCTTCTTGATTTTGTTATTTGTCAAATCAAGTCAAATAAACAGAGAAAATTTAATAGTTGTTCACACGTGCACACACACACACACACACACCAGTAACTTTAACGCTTCTTAGAAAAAAAATACATGAAACAATAATCATAAAACAGACAAATATACTAAATCAAAATTTAAAATTGCAGTTCATTAAAAGGATATCCAGGCGCAATGCTCACAGCTCACATGCTGCATAGTCTCAGTGGAGAATCTGAGGCAGGAGAATATTCAGGGCAGCCCGGATAGCCCTCCTCTTAAAAACAAGCGAAAAAAAGTGTACTAGGACACTATAGACCGGGAATCTTTATAAATAGATATGCACCGCAATTATAAATTAAAAAGAAAATAATTTTAAGTGAGCAGCGAGCCTTAGTCTATAATAGTTATTTGCTTCACTGATTCAAATAGTTTCAATTTAGTGTCGTTAATAGGGTTTTTCTTTCTTTTTTAATAATAAAGGAGGTGGAAAATTGATTTAAAGAAAGTGGGAGCATGCCTTCCTCAAGTGCTAAAAGCCTGGCTGACCACCATCTAGTGGCCAAGATTTGAATTGCAGCTTTGGTTTTGGTTTTGCTTTTTGCAGCCGATTTTAAAGACTTAATAGAACAAAAAGAACGTGCAAACACACACACACACAAACTAAGACAATAACAATCTTAGATATTACCTTAATAAAGCATAACCAAAAGGACATAATTTTATTGAAAAAACTATTAAATCAACAAAGATCATAACATATGATACTCAGCCAAATATATGTGGGGTGCACTTTTAACTATTCATGTAATCAATGTAAGTTAATTGTATGCAGGATAATCGACAGGTACTATTGCATTAAACTTTCCTAAGAACTCTGTGAAATATAATTCCACCCCAGGTAATATTGTTACAGTTAGCATTTTGCCAGCGGAAACTCATTTTGTTGTTAATAAGCAAACCTTACAAATGCTATTTATCTCACAATATAATGTTTTTCATGAGTCCCTTCTGAGCGTGAGAGGGGACTGTTAGAGCTATTGCAAAAGAAGTCAAGTCCGGGAGAAACTGCTCACAGCAGGAGACACGGTATTTTCTTCCAGTAAACGTCATAAGGTTTCATTTGAACGTTATTATATTCTGTCATTGGGTTCCTTGTTTCATATATACCTATGTACCCTGATTACGTTTTAGGAAGTTGTTACAGACTTTACAGTGTATTCTAATATTTTCCCTGTTGAATATAATGGAAAATGGCCCCCGCCGGGGTTTTCGGGTGGAGCCTCCGCTGTTCACGAACAGGCTGCTGTTAAACGTGGGGGGCGGGGGTGAGGGCTCTACAGTGTTGCCCCTATGCCACTTTACAAAGGAGGCCTAAAGAGCCTGAGCAACGGCCCCCTCCCCCTCCCAGCTGAGACCCAAGATGCTTGGACGATGTGGCTGCAATGCTATGTTCAGCCACTGTGAGGCGCTGTCTCCACTGCTGTTTCCTCTCACAGCGCGAAGGTCGCTGTCCTGCGTCAGCGTTTCTCGAAAGTTCTTGGTCAGTGGCTTATTAGGTTGGCACGTTGTGACATTGCTATATCACCTAAAGCAGAATCCCAAAGCTAATTAGATTTGGAAAATGCTGAGCTGCAGTTCAGAGGCAAACTGTGATTCTCCAAGGTTGATGAGTACAGAAAGATTCAATATGTCCCAAGGCTTGTGTAACATGTAAAATGTGTATGTTGTATGTAGATGCGTGGTACATATGTGTGTTTGTCTGAAAATGTACTAGTACTAGCTACGTTAAACATCCCTGCACTCACTTGCCCCATAAACAAGGAACCTGGGGCTGCAGCCCGGCCAGGATGTTTTTCCCCTTGCCTGTTCTGCTGTCCAGAACAGCTGTGGTTGTCACCTCCAGACACTAAAGTTGAGTACATACATACATACATGGTTGATTGATAGATAAATAGATAGATATAGGTATAGAGAGATAGATAGATGATAGGTGTAGATAGATAGATAGATAGATAGATAGATATAGGGATAGATAGATAGATAGATAGATAGATAGATACAGATATTACATTTAGATAGATAGATAGATAGATAGATAGATAGATAGATAGATAGATAGATAGATACAGATATTACATTTAGCTCCCTGTGTCAGTGACTTGGGATATGGTAATAAACCTCAAAGCCTGATTTCTTGTTCACATGATGTCATCAGGAGCAACTTGGCCATAGCTCTATGAACATGTCTTCTTCATGTTGGGTCTCCAGCTGCAAGAGCTACCCTCTCTGGCCATGGCCTTCCAGTAATTCAGGAAGAAGAGAGATGGTTGTGATTGCCCTTAAAAAGTCACATCTGACACTCTCCCTAACATCCCTTTGCCCAATGAAGGTCACAAGCTAAGGCCGATGTCAGTAAGGTTAAGGATATAATCCTGCTTCTACATGGGTTACCAGTGCACAGCCATATAACCTTTCCAGGGCAGTTAGCAACAAGTGGGAGGAGTGGGGGAATGGAAGCAGGGCCAGCAACAACAGTATCTCCCATAAGACACACACACACACACACACACACACACACACACTTACAGCTGTTATGGAGCATTTCTCCAGACAGAGGTATTCACATTCTCTGGTCACTGTGGTCTTGACACATACCGATGTAACGCAGCCAGCCTTCAGTCTGTGCCACAGGCAATTCATAGGAATCTCCTGTTAGATGCAGAACTCGGCTGTCCTGAGGTAGTGTATGTGAGCAAAGCCCGTTTCAAGGGAGGAGAAAGCAAGATGAGTCCTTCATGTCCCTTACTGACGCTCCGTTCTCTCCCGCCTCAGGTGCTGTCCTACCACGCCACGTGTTCCAAGGCTGAAGTCGACAAGTTTAAGGTGAGGAAGGGAATGTTGCTCTGTCAGCACGTGAAGTTAAACCTTGTCCAACCCTGTCGTTCTCGCTGGGGGTGTGGGCCACAGTCCTGGGCAGAGCGGCCTACAGTCCTTCCTTTTAGAGGGGCTGAAGGATTCCACGGTGGAGTGGTCCCTGTGCGGTGTACGTGGGTCAGGACATCTTTCCACTTGTTAAGCATGCAGATACGGGGCGGGGGCGGGGAGGAGCCGGTGTGATAGGGTGAGCTTGGGTATTGGTTTTACTTCTTACTGTCCACTTAAAATTTTGAGGGCCTTATTGTCTTATTTATCTATAAAACTGAATGAGGTTGAGGTCACAGCAGCTAACATTCATGCTCACTGTGTGCCAGGAGCACCGCTAGGCTCTTTCCCTGTGTGGGGCCATCTCAACCTCACGGCCCTGTGAAGGGCTATCTATGTACATTAGGACCGATATAAGCAATAAAGGGTTAACTGGAGTTCTTAACCGCACGCCTCCCCCTGCTTTGGTGTTTGCATTTCTAAACTCTGTTTTAAAGTTTTGGGAATTATCGGGAAAAGGTACTGCAACCATAAGAAATATCCATATACTGCAGTGTTAGCATATGACGTTGCTTGCTGTTCTTCTAGGAGTCCCATTTGCACATCGATCCATTTTATCCTCCCAGGTAAAGAATGGCACAGAGGCCTTTGGTCCCGATAGAATCATATTAGAATTAAATCACGTGAACCACTAAAGAGGACAAAGACACTGAGTACAGGGATAGAATTCCCCAGGAGGGTAAGGTGCGCACGACAGGCCTGTAATGAGTTGTTACATTAGACGGATGCTTAGAGAAAGGTCTTACAGTGGTACCCCAGATCAAAAGGAGAGACGGTGCCTTCAAGAGGTAATTGCTGCCCCCAGCCCTGGAAGGAACAAAGCAATCTAGACTGCAGCAGTCGGAACCTATTGTTGTAGAGGCAAGCATCTTGCATACTCTTTCAATTTATTTCTGTCTCTGTAACAAAATACCCCAGACTATGTAATTTATAATCAACAGAGATTTACTCAGCCCGTGCTATAAAGACTGAGAAACCCAAGGGCATGACTGACCTTTGCTCAACATCTAGTGTGTATGTGTGTATGGGGAGGTGGGGGGTGGGGAGCTTCTTGCTTCATCATAACACGTCAGAGGACATCGTGTGACAAGCTGGAGAAAGGACTCAGAGCTCTACAGCCTAGCCTCCCTTTTGGTAAGCCATGAGTCCATTTGTCCATGAACCAAGGTGGGGCCCTCAGGACATATCCGCCTCCCAACACGACTACAAATTTCCACATGGAATTTGGGGATGCATCGAAACCATGGCATATGTTGACTATGACATGAACTTGATTATGGCAGGAATTTTCTTATATTTTCTTCATGGTTCTATCTCAACTGCCTTGCACAGTTCTTAGAAAAAATGACACTCAGTAAATTCATAGTAAACAAATGAATGAGTGCAAAGGGTATCAGTATTCTAGATATTAAAGCAATTAGCAATCAAGAAAACATTAAAACTGTAATATAAAATTATTTTAGATGCCTTTTTAAATTGAATTTTAATGTGTATAAATTATATATTTTCCATTAAATACTTAAAGCTTATTTAACCTTAATAAAACTTAGTTTTAATGTATCAAAACACCAGATACTATATGATAAATCTGTAAAAATTTCATTTTATCTATAAATTTGGAAAGTTAAACAATCAAGCAAAGGTCTTATTACCTAGAAATCTCATTTATGGCAATACCCAGCTCCTGCTAAAAGGATAATACATCCTTTTGCTGCTATTATGATTATTCTTGTTGCCAAAGCAGGGAAGGACCATTAAGAAGACAGCAAAGTGCATAATGAACTAAATGTGAGTGTAAAAACCATGCACAGCAACCTCTCAGAAGTACAGCAAGCCATGCACTGTCTAGAGCTACCTGCCTTGTGAAGGTCACTAACCTGCACCCTGGCCTCATTCTTTGCTTTAGAGCAAACGGAGATCCACTGAACAGGCCAAGCCTTTCTATTATTAGTTCCCAAACATACTAAAAATATGAAGTATTTAAATTTGAGAACAAAGGGTTATTTCATCTTAAAACCTCAAGATCATTAACTGAATTGATTTATTCCAGATTTTATCCCAAAAGATATTAGCTGGTATCCGATTACAATGTAATTGAGATATAGTAGATAATTTTAACCAAATGGCTTTTTCCTTGATATATAAAGTAAATAAAACATTGCCCTAATTGATAGCTGGTGTCTATGGTAACTGCAGCAATAACATTAAAATGTAGTGTGCTTAGAATAATCCTACAAATAGTCATGGGACAACACTTATAGACTCTCCAGAATCAGTTGTATATAGCTAACTGAATAACTGGATAAATACTTTATTTTTGCCACTATATACAGACAAGACACATCCACACACAAATGTGTTGTAGCCTGTATTATCTTTGAAAGCATGCATAGCTTTTTTTTAAACACCATAGAGATTTAAATCTATAATAAGTGCCATCCATAGATTTACTAAGTTAAAGGATAGGTTAGATCTAGTATAGTTACTTAGCTAGGATTCGTGCTCAGTGACTCAGAGATGACCCCAGAGTTCGGAAAGTATTTATTTAATTATCTGGTGGTAGAAAACATCTGGAGGTCAAATACACACAGGCAGTTGACAGATCTTAATAGAAGCCCACGATGCACCACATCTGGGATGTAGAAATGTCCCAGAGACCAGCAACATGTGGTTATTTACATGAGCCTGAGAGCCTTTCTGAATCAAGAGTATGTTAAAATGGAACTGAGTTTACACGCCTCCCTGTCTACTGGTGAATTCAAGTTTAGCACGAGAGCCATCTCTCAGATTTGTGTCATCCCTCAGTCAACTATGGATCCATGTTCTTGGCTGAGAATGTGAGTGGATGTAAAAGCATGGTCTTAACCATGGCTTCAGCATATTCCATGCTTCAGATAGCTCAGGGTCCAGAGTATCAGCTGCCCACACCAGGGCCAGGGCAAGAGGCTTCACTGCAGACCAGAGGAGGGACGCTTTGTTATCAGTATGACCATCAAGGACTGGGAAGGTCAGTGCAGGTGGAGAGGAGACTTGGTAAGGACAGGGAAGGAATACCTTAAAGACCCCAGTGAGGATACCAACAAGACTGAATGGAGCAAGAGTGAGATCTGCATTCCTCATTATTCTTGGTTTACAGCCATTTGTACACATAGAAGGCATGGCTTAAGGAGGGAGGGGGATGCCTTTATGTAAGATAAACTGTTGTGGTGGTTTTTTTCCTCCCTGCCCCAAACTCCCGGAATAATGACTCATAAGACTCAAAATATATTTACAAATCTTAGGCCACATAGCCAGGCTCTTCTCTGACTAGTTCATAACTTAAAAATGACCCATGTATACTAATTTACATTCTGCCGCATGGCTGGTTACCTGTGTTCAGGTACCATACATCTGTCCTCCTCACATCTTCCCAGACAAATCTTCCATGCCTGGCTCTATCTCAGAATCCTTTCTGCCTGCAGGATGTCCTGCCTTCTATTCTACCCTTTCTTATGGGTGTAGGTTTTTAATTGACAGGTGATGCACCTATACTAAACACAAGATATCCTCTCTATGGTAAACCTGTGTAAATCCTTAGTAATCATTGATTTTAGGCTGGCACCATGCCCTTCCTCATGCCTGCTCGTTCTGTCTCACACCCCTTCACCTGGTGGATGTTTTCCTTTATTTTAGAGTGCTGCGAAGGAGCAATTTGTGTTTTCTTTTATTCTGATTTCTCCTATCTGTCTTATTGGGGAGATTGTGGAGAGATATGTAGTGGCAGGTGGGAAAACAGGATTAGCGTTTGTCTCGATTTTGTTTCTGTGGCTGTGGTGAAACACCCTGATAAAAGCAGCTAAAGTGAGAACAAGTATTTCCGCTCACAGTTCCGGGCTACAGTCTGTCACCGCAGGAAAGTCACAGGGGCAGGACCTAGGGACAGCTGGTTATGTCCACAGTCAGGAGAAGGGGGAGAAAGATTGTGTGCACACTTGTGCTCCACTCACAGAACTCAGGACCTCCCAGCATGGCAATGGTGGCTGGGCCTTCCTACCTCAGACAGCAGACTCAAGACAATCCCCCAGAAGTATGACCTACAGGCTGACCTGACCTAGACAAACCCTCACTGAGATTCCTCTCAGGCTGTTCTAGAATGTTTCTACTCAGCAACTAAAACTGACCATCGCTGAGTTGGAAGTGTCCCAAGCCTGTCCAACAAGTAGGTTCTGCCCCTTAAAAAATGTCAGAGCTTGGGCTTGTGTTTCCTGGTTCTGATACCATTCATGCCTCAGGAAATAGTCTTGTTTGTAGGGCCACTCCCGCTCACAAAGACTCCAAACATCTGGGAACCAATAAATTAAATGCTTCTGGAAGTCTGATTCAGATTATGATGTCAATAAATTATCCTTCATGGGCTGATTGATCTATGCATTAATGAGCACACCAAGATCCCAAGGTTGGGTTTTTTCCCCCTCATTAACATTTACTGTTCCATGAACTTGAAATAAGAAAGTGACATAGAGAAAATTTGTGCAGATTTTAGTGGCTGTTTACATCTCTTCAGCACGGTGCTAACAGGAATAACGTATAAAGACCATATTGACAATTAGATCTCTTCGAAGATGGCTAGTTTAAAGGCTTTTAATAACCTAAAGATGCCAGATGTGATAACATGAGAAAATGAGTTTAGCACACCAATTATATGCTCCTGTGGTTTTATACACTTTCCTTGGATGCCACTGCAATGGACAGACCTAATGGTTATCAGCACCTACTGCCAGTTTACCTGTTAGCACCAACCTGTGGACATTGTCTTGCTATATTGCCTCCTTCAATCATCCCTTCTTCCAGTTCAGAACCACATGGGTACAGCTGTAATCAAGGAGGAGGCTCATTTACTGCCCCGTAACTTCCTCAGTAAT